TTTAGGGTGTACGGTTTAGGGTTTTAGGGTTTAGGGTTTTGGGGTGAGATGTTCAAAAATCAGTGTGGTTTTGGAATTTAGGGGTTTTGGCTTGAGCTTTTTAGACATCAGGGAGGGGCTTGATTAAGGGTTTAGACCCAATACACCTTAATTAAGGAATATACCTTAAATTATAGGGGGGTGCAGCCACTGTACCGGTCTCCAGCCCCAGAAGTTGCTCTGCAGGCGATGCAGGGCTTGCTGTTTAGGCTTGTAAGGGCCATGAAAGCCCCCCAAGCCCTAAACCCCAAACCCTGAACGGCCCTAAACCCTAAACCCTAAACCCCAAACGGCCCTAAACCCTAAACCCTAAACCCTAAACGGCCCTAAACCCTAAACCCTAAATCTCAAATCCTCTTGACCAAAAGTCCAAGAGCCAATCAAGTTTTCAAGCATTCGTAATGCCCAGGGCCTTCCGTTCGTAGGCTTTTTTTGAGGGGTTTAGGGTTTAGGGTTTAGGGTGGTCATGGGACAAAGCAGGGAAACTTCTTGTTCATCATAAACCCTAAACCCTAAACCCTAAACCCTAAACTTTTAGGGTGAACTCTAAGCCCTAAGCCCTAAACCCTAAACCCTTAACCCGAAATTCGACAACCCTCGATTCTCAGCCCAATCCGGCCCATGAGCTGAACCTTGAACCCGAAATCCCTAACTCTCAAGGCCCGTAGTCTGTAAAGCTTTAACGCTAAGCTCCGGAGTCTATCTAGGGTTTAGGGTTTATAAACCCTGAACCCTAAACCCTGAACCTCCGTAGGCCCTAAACTCAGCCCGATTTTCTCGGGCTTCACGGTTTAATATAGGGGCCTTAATAATCACCTATACTGCTTTGGGGGTTCCTGATTATAGTGATAGTATAATGGACTTCAAAACCCTAGTCGAATTATTAGGGCCCCTACATTAAGCCAGTGTCGGAGCTTTTGCGGGTTTGGAGATCAACGCTTAAACCCTAAAACCCAAAACCCTAAAACCCTAAACCCTAAAACCCTAAACATTAAACCCCAAAGCCCTAAAGCCCTAAGCCCTAGAGCCCTTAAGCTCCCCTAAACCCTAAAGGCCCTAAACCCTAAAAGCCCAGAGCCACGGTTTAGGGTTTAGGGTTTAGGTACTTGAGTCGCTTGGGGTTTGTTGGGGTTTTCGGGATCAGGTTTAAGGTTTAGGGAAACCTACACCCTGAACCCCTAAACCCCTAAATTCTAAACCATGGGGGCCTTGAACTTCGTAAGGACCCCATTAATTAGGATTTAGGGGTTTAGGGGTTGAATAAGCCTTATAGAAGCCCTATATACCCTAAACTCCCCACCTGTAGCTTCCTTTAGTTTAGGGGGTTTAGGG